TCAGAATTCTACCAAACCTTTAATGAGGAACTAGTACCTATATTACATAACCTTTCCCAAAACATAGAAAAAGAAGGAATACTTTACAACACATTGTATGAAGTAAATATCACCCTGATCCCCAAACCAGGAAAAGACCCAACAATGAAAGAAAATTATAAACCAATATCATTAATGAATATTGATGAAAAAATATTCAATAAGATCCTAGCAAACACAATTCAGCAAAACATCAAACAAATTAAAACCCATGACCAAGTTGGTTTTATCCTAGGGTCTCAAGGATCATTCAACATACATAAATCTATAAAATATAATACATCACATAAACAAAGTAAACAGCAAAGACCATACGATTCTCTCAATTGATGCAGAAAAAGCTTTTGATAATATCCAGCATCCTTTCTTGATCAGAACACTTAAGAAAATAGGCGTAGATGGGTCATTTCTTAAATTGATAGAGGCCATCTACAGCAAACCCACAGCCAATATCATACTGAACGGAGTAAAATTGAAAACATTTCCATTCAGATCTGAAACTAGACAAGGATGCCTATTATCTCCGTTGTTATTCAACATAGTAATGGTAGTCTTAGCCATCTCAATCAGGCAACAGAAGGCATTCAGGGGTATCCAAATGGGGTCAGAGGAGATCAAACTCTCACTCTTCACAGATGATATGATTTTATATGTGGAAAACCCCAGAAACTCAACTACAAAACTCTTAGAAGTGATTAAGGAATATAGCAGCATCTCAGGATATAAAATCAAGAATTACAAATCAATAGCTTTTATGTATACCAACAATAGTCAAGCTAAAAACATAGTCAAGGACTCTATTCCTTTTACAGTACTGCCAAAGAAGATGAAATATTTGGAAATTCACCTAACAAAGGACATGAAAGATCTCTATAAAGAGAACTATGACACTGAGAAAAGAAATAGCTGAAGATGTTAACAAATGGAAAAACATACCATGCTCATGGCTAGGAAGAATCAACATTGTTAAAATGTCCATACTACCCAAAGCAATATACAAATTTAATGCAATCCCTATTAAAACACCATTGTCATACTTTAAAGAGCTTGAAAAAATAGTACTTAATTTTATATGGAATCAGAAAAAACCTCAAATAGCCAATACATTACTCAGAAATAAAAGCAAATCAGGAGGAATCACATTACCGGACTTCAGGCTATACTAGAAGTTTCTATTAAAAAATTCAAATTAATCAACAAAAAAGAACAAATAATCCCATTTATCATTGGGCAAGAGATATGAACAGAACCTTATCCCAAGAAAACAGAAAAATGGCCAACAAACACGTGAAAAAATGCTCTTTGTCTCTAATCATTATAGAAATGCAAATCAAAACCACTGTGAGATATCACCTAACTGTAGTGAGAATAGCCCACATCACAAAGTCCCAAAGCTGCAGATGCTGGTGCAGATGTGGAGAGAAGGGAACACTTTTACACTGTTGGTGGGACTGCAAACTAACACAGCCTTTTTGGAATGAATTATGGAGAATCCTCAAAGAACTCAAAATGGACCTTCTGTTTGATCCTGCAATCCCATTACTGGGCATCTACCTAGAAGAAAAAAAATTAACATAAGGACATTTTCATTCAATGTTTATTGCAGTTCAATTTGCATCACTTTATATTAATCTGGAATTAAAAAATAAATAGAAGGCCTACTAGCCCTAGTAATGGAGGCTCACTTGCTGTCTATGATGAATGCATCCTGCTTTGCAAGTTTTCTTACTCTGTAAGCCTATCTTTCTCTTCCTCAATAAACTTTGTTTCATGCTTGCCTTTAAAAAATAGATAAATAAAATAAAAATTTTAAATAAATATAAAAATTAGCCAGGTGTTGTGGCAGATGCCTGTAGTTCCAGCTACTGACAAGCAGGAAGATCACTTGAGCAAAGGAGTCTGAGGTTGCTGTCAGCTACAGTGATGCCCTGGCACTCTAGCCTGGGCAGCAGAGTGAGATTCTGTCTCAAAAGGAAAAAAAAAAAGATGATTTTGTGGGTGATAGAACTAATTCTAGATTATGGTGATGATTGCATAACTCCATACATTTACTAAAAATCATTGAATACACTTATTATAGGTGAATATTGTGGTATATAAATTATACATATTTTTAAGTGGACAAAAAATCAGAGAAAGATCATATTCAAAGGATGATAAAAACTATTATGTTACTAATGCTGTGTACCTAATTACCTCTAACCTGTTTTGTTATCTCATAGATTTTGTTCAGAGTTCAGGCAGGGTTCAATTGGGCAATTCTTAATTTCTTTCGCATTGACCAAAGTCAGTTGTTGTTGATTAGGAGATCTAGAGTTACCAAGACAGATTCATTCATATGTCTGGCAATGGAATGTTGATGCTTTAAAGACTAGAACTGCCAACCAGAGCACCTACACATGCCTGTCCATGTGGCTTGGCTTCCTCACACTGTGGTGACCTCATAGTGAGACTTGTTATATAATGGCTCAGGGCTCCAACTGTGTGTGTTCTCGCAAGCAAGTCAGAAAGTGAATCACTTGGCCAGGAATAGTGGCTCCCATCTGTAATACCAGTATTTGGGGAGGCTGAGGTGGGTAGATTGCTTGAGCTCAATAGTTCAAGACTAGCATAATTAAGAGCAAGACTCTGTCTCTACTAAAGATAGAAAAACTAGCTGGGTGTTCTGGCAGGCGCCTGAGTCCCAGCTACTCAGGAGGCTGAGACAAGAGGATGGGCTCCCTCTTGAGCCTAGGAGTTTGAAATTGCTGTGAGCTAGGCTGGTGCTACAGCACTCTAGCCTGAATCACTTTTTATGAACAGCATCAGAAATCACACAACACTTTATGCCATAATCTGTTAGTTGAAAACAGGTGAAGCTCACCTAGAAACAAGGAGGGGGAAGTTCTGGCCTCCTTCTTGATGGGAGGAGTGTCAAAGAACTGGGAACCATGTTTTAAAACTGTCACATAGACTGACAGCTTACTTCTCTAGAACAATGAAGATAATGCATTTTGATCAAATCGATTGATCCCAGGAGTAGTAGGTTAATTTAACATTAGAAAATAAAAAGTGATAACCCACTATATTAATACATAAAAGGGGAAATATCATTAAATAATTTCAGTATCTTCTGAAAAAGTATTTGCCAAAATTTAACATTCATTCATAATAAAAATTCACAGGAATCTTGATAACTGGTAAAGAGAGAGAATAAGAAATCTTCCAGGCTTGGTGCCTGTGGCTCAAGTGGCTAAGGCGCCAGCCACTTACACCTAAGGTGGTGGGTTCGAATCTAGCCCGGGCCGCCAAAAAACAATGACGGCTGCAACCAAAAAAAAAAAAAAAAAGCTGGGCATTGTGGCAGGTGCCTGTGGTCCCAGCTACTTGAGAGGCTGAGGCAGGAGACTCGCTCGAGCCCAGGAGTTGGAGGTTGCTGTGAGCTGTGATGCCATAGCACTCTACCCAGGGGGACAGCTTGAGCCTCTGTCTCAAAAAAAAAAAGAAAAGAAAAAAGAAAAAAGAAAAAAGAAAAAAAAGAAATCTTCCAGAGCAAGGTATAAGGAGAAATCAGTGAAACATTTAATATACTTTGAATGGCTATTTATGGGCTGTTTTGATAGGTTAAAATACTAGAGGAGCCTCAGTCACTGACCCAGTTGCATCCTTCTCCTAACTTCCTATGAGCTTTTCCTTAGTCAAAAGCAGAGATTGAACAAGAAAGTTAAGGAAAATTTCCCCACTGAGAGGCCATCCCCAAATGCAAGGCAGTGAGTTATTGGAGCTGAGGAGGACTAGAAAGGTTAAAAAATTCACAGGAAAGTGGGATTACAAGGGAATCATTGTCAGTATCCTAATAAATATCTGAACCAAACTTATAGTAAGCATCATGCTTGGTGGTGAAACCCAGAAATCCTTCTGCTTAAGATCAGGACAAGATACAGTTGACAAGTATCACCCCTTCTATTTAATATTGGAAATCCTAACCACTGTTATTAGTAGAAAAAAATTTAGTATTGGAAAAGAATAATCAAAACTGCTGTTATTTGAAGCATCATTCTTCTGCTTATGCACAGGTAAAGAACAAAGCTATTTAGTGGGTTTACCAAATGACTGGGTTTTAAAAGGAGAGCACAAGTCGAAGTTAGATTTTTATCCTCATATCACACAATCTCAGATACAGAGGTGGAAATGACGTCTTCAGAGTCCTTCACAGCTTCCATGTTATTGCTTTTCCTTCTTTTCTCTCCTTTAAAGCTCATATAGTCAGATGATACCACCTGCTACCCTTGGTTAATGCTGTAATTAGCTGTTCTCCTGGTCATCAATCAGTGAAAATTCTATCACCTGGAGCACTATCTCTCTCTGCAGTGTTGGGGAATTTAATGCTCAAATCATGGAAAAGACTGAGGAAAACACTGTCTTCAGAAGATTTCCAAATGTCAATTGAGTAATGAGGTATAGGGAATACTTCCTGAAGCACCTGAAATAATTTTTAAGGAAATGAAAAGAAGCCCTTAGCGAGAAACCTAAGTGTCTTGGATTCTGTATTTTCAGATTCAAGCAAATGCAGATTGCAAATACCCAGGAAAAAATCACACAATAAAGATAAAATAAATAGCAAACACTACAACTATTTACATAGCATTATGTTGCGTTAGGAATTATAAGTACTCTAGATGATTTAAGCATAAAGGAGGATGTTTATGGGTTATATGCAAGTACCGTGCCATTTTATACCAGAGACTTGAGCATTGCAGATTTTTGGGTGTCCTGGAATTAATCTCCAATGGATACTGAGGGACATCTATAGGTGTCTGAGAAATTTCATGAGAGGATCAAATATTTTGAGCTTTATCTAGGCTTAAACTCCTCTAATCAGGATATAGTTTGCTCTTGTTTATCTGGAGTTAAGCCACAGATTTTTTTTGTTGCTCCTATTTGTTTTAGGACTTGATCTTGTATCTCATTTCTACCTTCAGATTATATTTAAGAATCAAGCAAGCCGACCATATAACATCTACCCTCATGGAATCACTGATGTCAGACCTTTGCACTCAGGGAGGTTACCAAAAGGTAAGTATTAGCTCAATTTATAGACATTTCTTACATGTAGATACAGATATGGTCATAGCATCAATAGCAACTAAAATTATGCTGGCTGGTCGTTTCACCAGCTGTTAACATAGGACCTCAAGCCCCAGACTAAAGTTATAATAAATCAATTCCAGGAATTCTTAGGTGATGTCTCATTTAAGTTAGTAAAGAGTCACTGATGTGCTTTTGCTATTATCTACTGCTTATGTTTCACTATTGCACATCCAATTAGAATTGGCTTCAAAGACTTTAGGGCATTTGTAATAGTTGCAGTGGAGAGATTCTATTTCACTAATTTTAGTACCATCACATATGCTTAGCTAATTTATCTTTTATATGATGTTAGTTTCCCATATTTTTGTTTAATTTACATTAGGCCTAGTCCATGTAAAGAGCATGTATATGGGTTTTATTTTGTACCCAGTCATCATCTTTCAATAAGACGTTTCAGCCTAGTCACATTTATGGTACTACTGATATGTTTGTATGTATTCTGATAATCTTATATTTGAATAACAATTTTATAATTATTTTAGCCTTTTATTACCTTTGTCAGTAGTTTTGTTATATACTTTTCATTTTAGTAGATTGGATATTACATATGTATTCTTTCTGTTCTTTAATTTTATATGAATATTCTACATCTCTAAAAAAATTACACTGCTAATTCTTTGTCTTTCAACTTTAGACATTATACATTTACTTTATTTTGTGTTAAGTATTTTGCATTATGCTTCCTTCCACTCTAGTTGTTTCTGAGTTTTATTAGTGTTTTTTATTTCTTCAATTGGCAATATTAGAACTATAAAAAATAGACTAAACATATACTTTTTTATCTTTATGATTAGATAATATCTCCTTTTTTTGAGACAAAGTTTCACTCCATTGCCCCAGGCTAGAGTGCTATGGCATCATAGCTCACAGCAACCTCAAACTCCCAGGCTCAAGTCATCCTCTTGCCTCAGCCTCCTGAGTAGCTGAGACTACAGGCACCCACCACTATGCCTGGCTATTTTATTTTATTTTTTTTAGTGGAGATAGGATCTTGCTCTTGCTCGGGCTGGTCTCTCATTCCTGAGCTCAAGCACTCCACCTGCCTCAGCCTCCCAGAATGCTGATTAAAGGTATTAGCCACTGTTGCCAGTTAGATAATATCTCTTGACTTCCTTTTTTCTCTCCTCTACCTTGCCTTTTCTCACCTGCTGTTAGCTATGTCTTTACTTTTATAAAACTAAAGCTTATAACATTTACAGTTTGTACTGAAATTTTAAATCTTCGTTGCTTTGTCTACATATTTATTATAAAAATAAAAACCCAGCATTTATATGATTTTATTGTATAAATTCCTTTCTATAAACATTTACTGTAATATAAAGTGATTGTTCTCTTCTTTACAGTTCAAATTATTTTACTATTAAGATAAAATAATATGGGGAAGATAAAAAAGTTGGTATCATAGAAGTAAAGAGTAGGATAGTGGTAACTGGAAGCTGGGAAAGGTGGAGAAAAGGTAGGATATGAGAGGTTAAGATACAAAATTACAGCTAGATAGGAAGAATAAGTTCTCCTGTTCAATACACTATAGGGTGACTATAGTTTACTATATAGTTAACAATAATTTATTGTTAAAAACTCATCTTTGAGTTTTTTCTTTCCTTGTACTTATGGGTATGTGACGTTACCTCTGTTATCGTGCACGTTTCTGTTTTTTCATTTCTTCTTTTGTTTTTCTGGAAGTATATCCTCAAGTAACTCAAGTAACCTCAAATAGCAAGAAGAGAGATTTTACAATGTTCCCAACACAAAGAAATGAAAAATGTTTGAAGTGATGGGTATAAACTAATTATCCTGATTTGATCATTACACATTATGTGTATGTATCAAAATATCACACTATACCCTTTAAATATATACAATTATGTCAGTTTAAAAAAAGATAAAATAGATTCTCATTTCTTCTTCTCTATTAGTAGTTCAGAATCATACAACATTTTAGTTTGCTTTATATTAGGACTATACTAATACAATTTTTGTGTTTGTATCCTGAAGTAACACTTTCTTTTCTTTTGTTAGGAAAAGAAACATATGTTTCTCTATCATACCTCTTAGGCCTTCAGCTTCTTATTCATTCCATTTATTGCTTGATACCCAAATCTTTTTTCTTTTTTTTTTCCTCTTTTCTTTTTTAAACTAGAAGAGAGGTACAACTTTCAATGAGAATGTGAATCAAGGCCAAGAAGCAAAGACTTTCTCTATCCATATCATCTGTCTGTCTTGGAGATGGGGTCTTGCTCTGTTGTCTGGGTTGCAGTGCAATGGTGCAACCTTACTGCAACCTTGAACTACTGGGGCTCAAGTGTGCCTCCTGCCTCAGTCTCCCAAGTAGCCAGGACTACAGGCCCATCCCACCAATCCCAGCTAATTTTTATAAATTTGATCTTATTCATTTCTTTTTTTTTTAAACAGTTCTAAACTAGAGATAGTTTTTTTTTGGTAGGTCTCACTAACATTGCTCAGGCTTGTCTCAAACTCCTGGCCTCAAACGATCCTCCTGCTTTGGCCTCCCAATGTGCTAGCATTACAAGTGTGAGCCACTGTGCCTGGCCTCATTTTTCTTACTAAAGACATAATTTTAGTTCACAATGTATTGCTTTAATTTGGGTTACATGTTTTCTAGGTTTGCTACAAAGTTGTCATCTTTGAGTTTTTTCTTTCCTTGTACTTATGGGTATGTGACGTTACCTCTGTTATCTTGTACATTTCTGTTTTTTCATTTCTTCTTTTATTTTTCTGGAAGTATATCCTCAAGTAACTTTAAAATACATAGAGGGTAAATTTTCTGATGCCTTTAGTATCATGTGATGTACAGACAGGCTGGTTATAAATAATCTAATATTCATTGTTTCTGATCCACTCTTCTAATATTCATTGTTTCTGATAAGAATTCTAATGCCAGGTAGATGTGCATTCCTTTATGGGAGAAGGGATAGTGACAGAGATCTGGGGAGATTTAGAATATGTACGCTAAAATTTAGAGGCATACATAGTACAGTTACTGGTAACCTTTTTTATGTGGAGAATTCTGAAGGCCCATATAATTCTTTTTTTGGAGGGGGGTTTAATTTCTTATAGAATAACTGTGTACATTAATGCAATCATGGGGTACAGTGTGCTGTTGGCCCATATACTTCTAATAACCACCCACCCTCACTCCCAACTCCTACAAGAGGGAAGATAAGAGACCTAAGGAATATTGAAAGGAAATGCCACAGGTCAGACATAATAGAATGAGGGAGAGCTTAGAATGGAAAAAAAATTAAAATTTTGACTTAGATTGGATCTTTAGGTGTTAAACATACCCAAAAGTGAGGTTAATTCTAAAATCAGACATTTCTTGTACTGAGGACCCACTAGCCTGAGGGCAGGTTTTAGTTCTTGCTGCCTTTCCTCACAAGGGTCAGGTATCATATTTCTTTTCTTTTTTTTTTCAAAATAAATATTTTATTTAATGTGCCATCAGAATATATACATTTTTTGTTTTTCCCATGTCAGATGTGGGAAGACCATCCTCTCACAAGTCAACAGAACAAAGGCATAGTACAGAAATCAGATCCTTTGGCTAAATATTATATCATGTTGGGCATTATTGATACCTTTAGTGTGATTACAGCTGCATTTTAAGAAGCTGGTCTTGGCTCAGTGCCTGTGGCTCAAGTGGCTAAGGCTCCAGCCACATACACCTAAGGTGGCGGGTTCAAATCCAGCCCGGGCCCGCCAAA